CACTCACACACACACTCACACACACACACACACACACGCTCACACACACGCGCACACACACACATACACGCTTCTTAAACATCACGTTCCACTTTAAAGCTTCAGTACAAGCTTTATGAAGTGGAAACCCAATCACAGATCTGCTGGTTTGTTATTCTGTCCTCATGCACAACGCTGAAGAATCAATCAGTTAGCATGACCTGATGAGCCGCTGTCTCCTAAGCCCAGTGCTTTGATACGGGTCATTATCGTCACGGCTGATTTATTCAGTTATAATTAAGAAGTGAAGATGACCCTGCTGTACTATTAGTCATAGTTGATATCCATGCTAATTTCTGAGTTAGCGCTCATTTCTGCAGCACAAACCCCTTCGTTTGAACCCTGCATGACTTAGCTTTAGCATAGGAGTAGCGGAAATTTACAATTAAAAGCATAACATTATTTATAAATTAAATATATTACACACAAATATGACCCAGCATGCCTAATTCAACATGAAAAATATAAAATCATTTTTAAAGCTTGTTTGACCTGATTAATTTTACATGCAGTTCATGAATATTTACATAAATGTGTTTACATATATTTATATTCATGTTTAAATATACTATTTTTATGTATTAAATATACTATTTATTATATTTCTAATTTTTATAATTTCATTCATATACACAGCATATATGCACCTGAGTACCTTGAAAAGTGCTCTATACATAAAATGCATTATATACTGAATATATATATATATATATATATATATATATATCCCAATTTATGTATAAACATAAACATAATTATATAAATGTAATTTTAATTTATATATATAAATTGTTATTATAATTACTTAAAAATATAATTTAAAATATTATTAAGTATATATAAATATAATTGTATTCATATAAACAACATATATGCAAATGAGTGCCTCAAAAAGTAAATAAATAATATAATAATAATAATAATATTATAAATAATAAAATGTATTATTTTAAATACACACACGCACGCGCACGCACACACACACACACACTCACAAACACACTCACACACACTCACACTCACGCTCACACACACACACACACACACACACACACACACACACTCACTCACTCACTCACACTCACAAACACACTCACACACACATCTATACATACATATATATATATACAGTATATATATATATATATTTCCCATCTTTATGTAAAAACTCAATTATATATCATTTGATATCAATATAATTTTATTTACATATAAAAGCGCTCTATAAATAAATTATTCATTAATTATATTACTAATAATGCATCCCGTAATTTTAATAATTATATAAATTATATGTTCATATTATATTATATGATCTTTCTGAATACATTCTGATTAAATATCTTCTTTGACTTGGAGATGTATCACATTACAGCAGCAAAATGGGTTGCAAACACCGTTTTATGTTTACTCTTAGAACACATGCTGGAACCAGATTACGTACCATTAATACACTTAGTGTTAGTTAACTTTCCAGCCATACTATAGTAAAACCGGCAGAGCTTCAGCTGAATGTTTCACTCAAAATAAACATTAAAGATTCATTTGTGATTGTAATTTGTTATCTGTGGTAATTTAGCTGACACACGCTGACGGATTGTTTTCATCAGACATCAGCAAACGCTTTGCTTCAAAGCATCTCACAGTCTTCTGTTTCTCCGGAAGATTCCTCTCCAGAACGTTTTGGCTGCTATTTACGGCTACTGCGCTGGGAAAGCATGAACATTCGTTTATTCCAGCAAACGCTGGCAAACTTCATCCTGGAACAAAACACAATCCTGCAGTTAAATAATATGATGTTTATACGTGATCTACTAGAGCTTTAATTATCAAATTCACTTACTATAATTACTGTTCAAGGGGTGTTTTAATGCCTAATGGTGATATTAATTAAAAAAAGAGTTATAAAATAAGTCATGCTAGCAGATATTTTAATGTGCGTCTTAGTAAAGCAAACCAGCAAAGTCTCCTCAACAACACAGTAATTTGAGGACTGATGGAAACAGCAATAATGATTCATTTGAAACTATATAACAGGTTATCGGTGAGGATTGGTCTGTATGTTGAGTTGTATTTGAAGTCAGAGAAGGAAATAATTGCCGTCTAGGGAACAATTATCTCCTCAGACGTCTTGTAGTTGTTGGTTGTTTGCTCTTTTGTTTAGCTCCAAATTTCCATACCGTAGCATTTCTTTCTCTCACATTAATAGTGCAGGTTTGATTTGTGCTGCTTGCGTTTCTGCCGAGTCACGTCATGCTTATTTCTAGCTGCATTGAAACTAAATAAAATGCAAATAAAATTGACTTTTTTGTCCATTCTATGAAAGTCAATGGGGTCCAGTGTTGTTTTGGAGCCAATTAACTTTCACTGTATTAAGAAAAGCAGTAGCGAGTGAGTGTTGTGTCTGTGTATCGCAGGTGTGTTCATATGTGTGTGTTTTTGTTTCTCTGCAGTGATGTGCTTGTTTTCGGGGCAGACGCTGGTGGAAGGACAACGCTGTGCTGTTCACGATCCCACCGCGGGACTCTGCCAGCTGTTTGAATGCAAGGTACAATCTCTGTACATTTACACAAAACACAAAACCTACCAATGTGTGTGTGTGTGTGTATATATATATATATATATATATATGTATAGATAGATAAAAGTATTTGCATAGTATTTAAAAATACATATTTACAAGTAGTACATTTTTAAACTCCTTAGCAATCGCCTAGCAACCACCCAGAACACACTATCAACTGCATAGCAACCACCTAGCAACACCCTAGCAACTGCTTTCCTAACAACCACCCAGAACACCCTAACCACTGCCTAGGAACCACCCATACCCCTTTTCCACCGAGGCAGTTTGAGTGCTGGTTCGGAGCCAGAGCCTAGTTTCAAATCGGTTCTTTGTCTTTCGACACCCAAAGCACCAGCTCCGAACCAGGAAAAGTGGTTCTTAAGTAGCACCAAAACATTGCTGGTCTAGAAGTAAGAACCGCTTGCGTCAGTGGCTGGGGACGGGGTTACCGTGACCAACAAGACGAACAGAAACTTTTGACCACCATTTTTGAAGTAGCAGCTAAACATAAACACGTTGAATTGGCCGTGTTTGGATGCCGATGTAGGTTCGCAAAGCCATGAACATCAATAGCAATGCAACGTCCACCACTGCTGATTGTGTGTTTAGGCTTGTTCGGGCTGCATCGGCGCTGCGCGGACCGGTCGGTGTGCCGCGGGAGTGATCGGAAAGCAGACGACTCTCTTTATGCTTTTGAATCGCTTTCGCGGTGCTTTGGTGTCGTGCGCCGATCGGTCTGCATGACGCCAATGCATCTCGAACAAGCCTGTCGTGTTTGCCGCTGCCACGCTAGCGTTACTGGGGAAGATGAGACGTATTCAGTGACGTAAGACCTGGCTCTGTGGTGGCTCTCTAGCTCGTGGAAAGGCAATCCGGTTCTTAGAAGGCTCGCCAGTTGAACCAACTTTGAACCGGCAATAGCACTGGCTCTGAACTAGCACCCGGTTCATGTTGGTGGAAAAGGGGTACCAGAGTACCCGAGCAACTGCCTAGAAACCACCTAAAACCGCTTAGCAACCACCCAGAACACACTAGCAACTGCATAGCCACCACCTAGCAACACCCTAGCAAACCACCCAGAGTACCCTAGCAACATCCTAGCAACCACGCAGAACACCCTAACAACTGCCTAGGAATTACCAAGACTACCTGGACAACTGCCTAGAAACCACCTAAAACAGCCTAGCAACACCCTAGCAACCACCCAGAGTACCCTAGCAACCGCCTAGCAACCACCCAGAACACACTAGCAACTGCATAGCAACCACCTAGCAACACCCTAGCAACCATTCAGAGCACCCTAGCCACCGTCTATATAATTTTTTTTTTTTGTACAAATGATAAACCCAGTTGCTTTTCTTATCTTTTTTTTCAGGATCGCACGATGCATAGAGTTACGAACCCTGAAGACTGTCCGCAGCTCACCTGCGCTGAATCTGACCAGATCACACTGACAGACAGATGCTGCAAAGTCTGCAGAGGTATGTACGCATATCTGCCCTTCTTCTGTACAGACAAAACCTCGAAGAAAAGTTGCTCATTGCCACCGAACGTGCAATAAATAATAATCGGTGTGTGTAGTTTGACCATAGCCTGACCTTTAGCACTTCAGTGTTTCCAGTAGCATAAATCCATGAACGCAGTTCTCCTCTATCTGGGGTTAAAGGTCACGACTTCTGTGCGGAGGACAACATCTGTGCGGAGAACTCGGCCTGCGTGAACTTAGACGCCGGCGCCAGCTGCAGCTGCAAGAACGGCTTCCGGCTGCTGCGTGAGGACAGCGTCTACTGCGAAGGTGAGGCGTCAATCAAACACGGGTCAGCTGATCCATCAGATAATCCCTTACTCCTGAATCCATGTGGCATTTGCATGCGCATACACTGCGGGAAATTAATCATAATTACAGCACTCTGGGAACAGGAATTTAACAGCATTAGAGCCGCCGGCTGATTTTAATATTCCACGATATACATTATTATTCCAGGACATGCGTATAATGACTCACTTGTGATAATTGGATTTTTCTGACGCAGTATCGAGTGTTGACATAAAATAGGTCGCACTTAGATACTAATATAACACATACTACTTTGGGGATTGAAATTTACAAATTTAACACATTAATTAAAACATTTATTTTTAAGATATATATTGATAAGATAAATTAAAAATATATATATTATTTATAATAATGTTAAATTAATATTAATATGATTAATGTTTTAGAATTATTACAAAATAAATATAAAATTCTAAATATAATATTAATAATAAATCATTCATTATATTAAAAATATGTAATAATTAAAAATAAAAACTAATGTTAATAAATATAACATTATAAACATATATAATAATTATTATTATTACAATAATAATATAATAAATGAATTTAGTACAATTCACTGTAATAAAAATATATGTTAGAAATTCATATTAAAGTAATGTTAATGTATTAAAATGATAATGTAAAATGAATATTCATGTCATATTGTAATGTGTTACAATTAATATTAATAAATATAAAACTATATATGATATTAATAATAATTCATATGAATATATTATAAATAAATGTAATAATAAAATACAAGTTTAGTATAGAAAACAGTTTACAAATAAAATTAAATATTATAAATTCATATATTATAAAAATATACTATAATAAACAATATTATAATTCATGTAATGTAATATAATATATAACACCATATGAAAATTCAGCAATAAGAAATATTCCTACCATAATTTTCAAGTGTGTTGTCAGTGCTCATGACACAAGATGCTGCGTGAATATGAAATATAGTATATTGAGATCTATTGGATGTCATCTGTCAGATCGATATGTGATTAGTTTGACTAATTGATCATCTTGTAATTCTATCGTTAATTCAGTGACATTTCTGAGTTGACTGACAGCTCTAAAAATACAGAATTCTCCGTTATCTGTGTTCGTTTTCATGCACATGACTAATTAACTACACTGCATTATTGATGCGCGACTAGGATCCGTCTTGCTTCGGCATCTTATTTGGCTGCTGTTGTGTACGAGTGTGAGTAAGTCATCAATGTCTCCCTCCACCTTCCTCATCCTGGTTTTCTGCTCTCAAAGCTGAGCCGCGGATGGCCTACTTTCGGTGAATGCCTAATGACTCGGGCCGTGTTTCTGGGGACCTCCCGCGCATCAGTCGGATCTATAATGAAACCTGTTCATCTCGCCGGCTAAAAATAACCGCGTACGAACGACCCCGCCGTCGCCGGGCCTCGGCTCACGTGTGCGGCCGGTCAGGTAATTATCAAAGACTGAGAGGATATGAATAATTAAAGATGCTATCAGACACGCTGGCTTACAGCGAACGGCGAGCTGGACGCTCCTAAACGTTCCCGCGGGACACCGTTCTGGACGCTCTCGGATCTGGTTCAACAACGGAAGGGAAGAGGAATGTCGGGAGGAGAAATCAAAGTGTTTTGAAATATAAGCCATGTGTAACCCAGAAACGCCGGCCGTGTCCCACTTCCACACTCATTCGTCTCCTCTTTCTGTTTAACCTTGCTGTTTGGGACGCTACACCTGGCGCTGGGCTTTCCATCATTAGCTGGAGGACGATATCTGCTTTTAGCTTTACAAATCCCACACATTTGCACATTCTAGCTGTTTAATGCAATAAACATTCTGTTTTGGGGTGATATTTAATAGTTAGAGCTGAGCGTTACGACCAAAATCATATATTAAAGTAATATATATATATACTATATAACATAGTTTAAACTGTGATAATATGATTTTATTTATAGTTTATTTATAATATATTTTCTCTCTCTCTCTCTATATATATATATACAAATCATATATATAAATTCAATATTTTAAATAATTTTGGAATAAATATATTTATTAAATGTATTTATTTAAATTCACATTATAACACTTTAAAATAAAATGAAATCATATAAATTAAATATAAATACATTTTTAAACAAATATAAATATAATACACACAATACAATATAAATAAATTCAATATTTTAAATAATTTTGGAATAAATTTGGAAATTCAATTTAAAACCATTCTTATATTACAGTAAATAATCGTGTTAATGTCTATTTGTGTACTTTAATACTTGAATGAAATACTTTACAAATGATGGTGCTTCATCTCATTTGATTATTTTTTCATAAATTTTAATCTTGATGGACTTAATTCAAAAGATCAGATGATTCAAATCAAATTATTAAATTGGTCTGACATCAGTGTAAAAACTGATATTCTAAACCGGAAGAATGTAAAATAAATAAAAATATAAATAAATATTTAAACATATATAAGTATTTAATATTTATTAATTAAAAATTTATATTTAATAATACACACACA